GCCAAGATTAATGGTAAATTTAGCATAAGTAGTTTATATCTACTAAATCTGTTCAAAGACAGAACTTAAGCAACTTGCCAGGGATCACTACACCTACCTTGAACAATTACTGAGGTAGAATATGTAAATTAAACATAGCTATTTGTGCAGCAAATGCTAACTTTGCTGGTATTATTCATTAAAACTCTAAGTCAAGGGCAGGCAATTTTTTTCTGTAAGAGGCTAAAAAGTAAATACTTCAGGATTTGCAGACCCAGAAGCAAGATCCAGGATATTAGGTATGTAGGGTCTTATGTAACAAGAGAGAAAACAAATTTGCATCAATTTTTATTGATAAAACTCAAAATGCAACAATAATATGTACAATTTTTTGGTAACATAGGTCTACTAATACTAATGAGAAGAATGGAAATTTTGGAGGAGACATTTCTCATAATAGGGATTCAAAGTTAGTGCTCCCTATCATCAAATCGATTGCAAATGTTCATCTGTAAAATATTCCTGGGCCATGTAAAATATTCCTCCTGGCCAAATTTACTTTGGCATTCCTTGCTCTAAGTACTAACACTACTTGACAAACCAGTGAAAACACTAACACCACAAACCTTAATTTCCAAAAGTCTGCTTCTAAGTAACTAAAATCAACTTGAATATTAAAACTTCAAACTTTTCTTGAGAAACAAGTTAAAACACTAACACCACAAACCTTAATTTCCAAAAGTCTAATTCTAAGTAACTAAAATCAACTTAAATATTAAAACCTCAAACTTTTTAACATAAAGCGCCTAATCTTTAACAATCATTTATACAAAGCAACTTATTCTTTCCTGACTCTTAGCTAAAGGCTATGACAAAGATTACTAAATACACGAGAAATTTAATCTTCTTAAAAATCTTATAATCTAATAATTTAAGAGTAAAAACATATAAAAATTTTTATCAGAAACTAAATATTTCTGTTATTTTTAACAGAAAATAATCAGAATTAAATAATCAAGGGAAGTAAATAAAATAAGGTGAAGAAGAAAGTTGAGAGTTTATCAAATGTGGAGAATGGGGAGATAATTTCACTAAGATTTCATGAAAATATACCTTGAATGCTTTTGGCAACACTAACCTGAAGTAAATGTTTAGTTTTTAAATGTGATCTGAATAACAACCAAATCTGACTTTAACCATTAATTTAAAACTACGTAATTTCACACTGATAAATGCTTTTACAAAAGTTAAGAATAACTTCACTATATTTTTCAAGTTAGCTCTATGTATCTCAGCCTCACCAACAAGGGCCCTAGACTAGAAAATCAGTGCCTCTGAAAGATGTGGCTGACTGACAATTGCTAAATTAAAGGAAATCCTCATTCATTGTTCCTAATAATAAATGAAGATATTATAGCCTCATTTTATTTAATTATTAAAAATCTAAAAACCAATTAAACAAGATACATAAATCTAACAAGATTTATGTATCTTGTTATATATAACAAGATATATAAATATAACAAGAGGAAATCTGCTACCAAATATAAGCATTCAAATGTAAAAATATCTTTTGTTACACCTTTTCCAGGGGTGTCCAAGACACTTTTCAAAATAATTTTTAGTGTAACACTTCCGTGGGAATGAGAAAGATCCAGTGATTTTACACTTGAAAAAGTACGGATTTCTGATCTTGGCACCTTAAGCTATATTACAAAAGCATTTGGATTTGACAATCTCCTTTGTCCTAGTAATCTGAACTGATATAGCAATGAAGGGTTTTTTTTTTTTTTTTTTTAAATAAAAAAATATAGTGTGAGTAACTTACAGTATGAAAGTGAATGTTGGTAAGAAATTCTCATTACCCATTTACCACTAGTGGCTAACAAAGGGTAGTGAACAGCAGAAAACCAGTATGTGTGCTTGGGGAATCTCCATAAGTTTTTCTAATACTCCACACACAATTCAGAGGCATTTCTCTATATATTTAGCATCCAAATTTAAAAAATACCTATGTGGATTCTATCTGCACAGCTATATGTCAGTGTCAGTAAAAAATTCCCAATTATTCTTCATTTTCATTTCCTCTTGTTCCAAAGGCAATAAAATTTAAACATGCCATTTTTAAAAAATCACATTTGAATTGGAAGTCAAATAATTTTAGAGTTGAACAGCCTCTTAGAGATAGTCTAATCTGAATCTTTTGGTTCTTCAAGTAAAGAAATTGGACTCAAAATTATACTTAAGATCACTACAGAATGACAGAGCTGGGATTTCAATCTGAATTCCTTGACTCTTCGGTGCCCTTTTAACCAGACTAAACTACAGCAGACTCTTGAGGCAACTTGAGATCAGAACACGAGAGTTATTTAAAAAATTTCTATCTCGTCTATTTAATGTGAAGAACCTTATTTTATTCCAAAACTGAGTAAAATTTAAAGGAAAGTTAAATATTTATTTTTATACTGTAGTAAATATTAACGGAAGTTGAGTTCTGAGAATACTAATTTATACACAATTCCAAATTATTGCTATTTTCATCTTAATATGTTAAGAAGTTTAAATAAAATCATTCAAATTTCTGACGTTAAATTATTTTCTTCCACTTTACTAACATCGCAGTAAGGATCTTAGTGTAGGGTGAAAGCTTAAAACTGGGAATCAAGACACCTTACTCTTAACTAATTTACTGTCAAATCTCAACCTCTCTATATTTCTCATCTTCTGATTAAGGATCAGGAGACAGATCCTCAGTACCAGACATCTTATTTACATTGCTTCTAATTCTCACACCTTAGAAGTCATGAATTATTCTACCTACTGTGTAGGAAACTGAAGCTCACAGTCTAAGGAAATTTTCCAAGAAACTGAGCTGGTTAGTAGCTGAGCTTGAATTTAAAACCAGCTCTGCCTGACCCCAGTCAATGCTTTTGTTCCTCACATGACACCACTTTGCTCACATCCTAATATAATGCGTGATCCTTGTGTGGTTACAACAATAAGCACTACATTTGCAGGATTATTAGGGAGATTAAAGTGATAAACTAAAATACACGCTAAAAAAAACACACCGTAACACTTTCTTTAGTTATTAAATTGAGAATGATTTTTCGTAAAAAAAACTTTAAAACTAGTTATGCTACAGATGGTATTCTTATTAATGTTATTACTTATTAACACCTAAGTAAGCACTGTAGAATTAAAAAATACATCAATCTTGCTTTTACAGATAACACTGCAAATTAAACTGGAACCCCATCTCTATTATAGTAGTTAAAATAAAATTACTCTCAAACTTCCATTAAATCACAAACATAAGTAATATTTACTAAAATGTGTGTGTATATATATAAATAGAACATAAGTAATCAAGAGAACTTGGTACTAGTTCCTGCCCTTTCAAATGGATTTACAAAAAAAAACAATTCTCAGATATGCAAGAAAAGATGACAGATGCTTAATACTGGACACCTATACAGTATATATTAAACTTCTTAACATATTTATCAACCATCTTCACCCCTGCAGATGAAAAAAGATACTGTGCTTCTCTGACAGAGAAATGTTTCCCCAATACAAGTTGTCCTGTCCTGTCTTACATATTCGGCAAAGTTAATATCAGTAAAATGTTTAGTAGACAGTGCACAACGTATTCTCTGAGTGTGGTCACTGGCTCTTTCTGTAAAGTTTAAAATCTATCAAAGCAAAACAAAACAACTACAGCACATGTAGGGCACATTAATGAATGTAACCTAAAAGCAAAACCAAAATTGAAGTTTCAGGTTATCTTTTATGTATATCTTGCCCTACAACTAAAATATCGAATTAGTTCAAAACGAAAAGTACTATGCACATTTGTCATAAGTCTTCATATGTGACCTAATAACATGCGACAGCTTCTTTACACTGGACTCGTCAATACCTCTATGACTCTGGTTCTTTTCCCAACAATGACCAAGGTGTTAATCTCTGTGTCTTGGGGTAATCCCCACAAAGGTAATGACACTTTGACCCTGTCAATTCCCTCAGAATTACATCTACCTAGCTACAAGTGCACTCACCCCCACTTCTCTTTTTACCTCCATGAACAACCCCCTAATCCCCAAGGAACTACACAAACCGCCCACTGAAGAAGCATTTCTTCACCTGACCCATCTTCTGCATTAAACATTCACTGCGTCTCAGCGTAAATCGCAAGCAAGACAAAGCTAGGACAAACCTGCAAATTCAGGAAACCCGCAGAAAGAGGAAGAAACCAGAGGAACGGAGCGAAGGGCGGGGGATCGGGGAGGGCACAGGGACCGCCTGTCACCCCCCAGGAGCTGAGAAGAGTGGGGCGGGCACGTAGGACCCTCCTTCCGAGCAACGCCAACTCCCAACACAGCTCCCTCCCCTCACCTCGATCTCGCGGATGTTGTTGGAGGTGACGAAGATGCCAATGCCAATGGGGATGAAGATGAGGCCGATGATGAAGAAAATAGGTAGCACCGTGCCAGCCGTAAGGATGGGCTGCCAAGCAGGCAGCCGTTGCTGTTTGAAGGCCGTGTTATCCGGTCTCCGGGTCTTCGCGGTGCTCCCCGGAGCACAAGGCGGCCCACCGTCCACTTCATCCTTGGCGTTATAGTTCATCGCCATCGATCCCCGGGGCGCCGCTCCGCGACGCGCAGGTGGACCACCCAAGGGGTCCGCCCGCTGACCCTGACAGGAGCCGGTCGAGCGCCGCCGCCGTCGCCGCCACCAGCGCCACCACCTCAGCCGCCGCCGCCGTAGAGCGGAAGAGGTGGGACACTCTTCCGCCGAAGGCCGCTGACAGGAAGCGAAAGTCGGCTGGAGACGCCAGTGGGAGGGAGAGAGGAAGGAGGGAGAAGATGGAGGGACAAGGGGAGGGGAAAGGGGAGGAGAATAGATGGGGGAAGGAAAAGGCAGACGTACCCTGATCATCTGCCCTGTGACGCCAAAGTGAGAGGCTCAACCACTGGGGCGTGAGGCTACGTTGGCGCATGCGCGGCCCTGGAGCTACGGCGACTCCACGCCTGCGCTATAGGTGCAACTTCGCTCTGTTTGCCGTGGCTTTTGTTCGCACACACCTGCCTGTTACTATGAGTATGGTGGCGACCGCAGGTCTGGATTGCTGGACAGCTTTTTCTTTATACCTCGAGGCTTTCTTTGAAGGAGTCAGAGCATTTACAAGGCCGCCTCAAGAGGGATTGAGTCGGGGGAGGATTAGCAGTATTTGCTTAGGTTGTAAAACCGCGACTTTATCTAATTATAAATAAATCGCCATTCAAGGTGCAAATATAAACTTGTAACAGAGGTGAGTGACATGTACTCCTTTTGTCCTAAAGTCAAGAATCAATAATGTGACCTTAGCTCTATTATCTTGCCACTAATTAAGCGATTCTCAGGTGTTTCTCTATTGATGATTTTCACCTTACTTTTCTCTTTCTTTTCTGTGTCCACCTTTCTCTTTTGCGCATTGATAAAGTGTTTTGTAATACGCTGTAGCCTTTTTCTTTTGCTGCTATAAAAACCCGAACATGTGGCATTACTACAAAATGAGATACTCCGTAAACAATTTAAAAGTGCTAAGTATTTAATAACCCAAGGAAATGCTGATGACATAAAAGGTGACTAAGTCAGGATATTAGAGTAGTATAGCGACTGTAGAAGTATAATATAGGGCCCAACTAAAAAGTGAGTAATGGTGACGTCAGTTGACCGGGTGGAGGATTTTTTTTTTTCTGTTTCTTTGCACTTTTCTATATTTTCCAAAATTTCGATAGTAGGCGTATGTTATTTGTAAAATTTAAAAAATTGTATACAATCCACATTATACTCACATCTTTGAAATCCAGACCAGAGAGTAAATCACATCATTTGAAAACAACTAGTTTTTTTTAAGGCTTACTCTGCACTAGTTTCTTAAAGAAGGTAAACTGAGGAAAGAGAAACTAAAGAGTGCTTAGTCCTCATAATTTACATTTAAGCCGGGCTCCGTGGCTCATGCCTGCATCCCAGCACCTTGGGAGGCCGAAGCGAAGTAGATCACCAGAGGTCAGGAGTTCGAGACCAACCTGGCCAACGTGGTGAAATCCCGTCCTTACTAAAAATGCAAAATTAGCCGGGCATGGTGGCTGCGCCTGTAATCCCCAGTACTTAGGAGGCTGAAGCAGGAGAATCGCTTGAACCCGGGAAGTGGAGTTTGCGGTAAGCCGACATTTACCATTGTACTCCGGCCTGAGCAACAAGAGCGAAACTCCATCTCAAAAAAAAGAAAAAAAAATGTACAGTTAAATGTTTTTTTCAAAATGACCACAAGTCTCAAGAATGTGAGCCAATCATATATTTACTAGTCAGAGTTTAGAGGGATATAATACTTGCTGCCTTCTAATAACCAACTTGCTTGGGTTTGCTCTTACATGACATTCATGCTCAGATTCTTACCACTGCTAACATACTTAGGTCTATATTTTGTTTTATCTGTTAAGTTTACCTTCAACCCCAGGCTCAAATGGAAAACAATCTATCACAGTTAATGGAGAAGGCATGGAGTCCTTTTATTTTTCTAAGTTCTGTTAGTAAAAATGTATGCCACAATATGGGCATATTACAAAAGTACATACAAGGCAGGTTTTTCCTCCCCATTTCTGCCTGTATCATCATGCCCACTAAATTTGATAATTCTTTAACTGATTTGCTATTCCAGCATTCTGTATAAATGGTCAGTTATTTTACCTTCATTTTTTGTTTTTGTTCTGTTGATCTGAGTGATTGTGATATATCTATCTGCTTCCTTTTTCCTTCATTTTGTTTGTTCATAGGAAAAATGAGTTAATCCCTTGTCTCTTTTTTATTAGAAATTCCATTTTGACTGAAACATTTACAGAACTGAAAGCTCCTGGGATTCTTCTCTAAAACTTACATTTTCAGATGAGGTCCAAATAGGTGAAATTGCTTTTCCAGATCTCTTTATATCCCTCCATTTCATTTTCCACTACTGTTTACTGCCACCACAATATGCATCTTTATCCAGCTGGAACATATTTTTCACCTTCATATTATTATCTCAGGGGACTCACAATTTTGTGATTTTCTTGGTCACATTGTTTTATGATAGTCTTTACTAGGTGGTTTTTCATTTAATCTGCTGAAGTAGGAATTTTCTAAAGAAAGCATTGTTCAGCATTTCTAGGGCAACAAAAGAAAATAGTTGTTCTCACAATGGATTACCATCTCCACATTTTCAAACTGTGATTGCTAGGAGAGACTGGTGTGTGTTTGTGTGTATGTATGTTGATACATTTAGATAACATTTGTATTGTTCAAATGATCGTTCTGGTGCTGATTCTTGGTAAAGTGGAATTTATGTGATAAATGACATTTATTAATGCTGACTATCAGATTAACATTGTAAGTATGCAGTCAGTGCACGATCCTCAATATGAAAGTGGATCAAAAACAAAACAACAGATGCAAGCCCAACAATCTGAAAAGGTGTATGTATTTAGCCTTTGGATGGAAAGTTTTATACATTTTCATTTTTTAGTTCAGCTGCTCTGTTGTGCCACTGAACTCGGTAACCAGAAACATCAAAGAAAAAAATACATAGGAATAACTATTGGGTATCTCCAGGAAGGAGGAAGAGGAAACTGCAACTGGTCTTTTCACTGCCTAACCAAAGTAGATTTGCCACACCGATTTGCTTGTTGAGTTCCTTTTATGTTTGGTGCTGCTGTAGCTCTCTAGCTTCTAACCGTATTCAAACCATTTCATCCACATCTGTAACAAGGATATTTTAAAAAGTTGAAGAGGGCTGAGAAATGTGCCATAATTTTTGCCATCATGAGTTTCAGAGAAAGTTCTTAATGAAACAGTTTGAATTATTTTCAGTGGCTGGGTCATATTTTTGCAGGAACAAAAAGAAAAATCTCTTTTCCTTTTCAGTTGCCCATGGCACCTTGGTGGAACTACAAAATGTTCATTTTTAATTATCCCAGAGAACTTTCAGCAGAAAGAGTGATGTCAAAATTGTATAATAAACTTCATTTCCTATATTTATTGCATCAGATATTGATTCAAACTAGCTTTTAAAAATTACTTTTTAAAATTGACTGTTTCCTGATTTTTATGTAGTGTAATTATTGAACATTTTCAGTTAGATATTAAAGAAAATCTCTTTGTTGTAACACTGAGAAATTGACTGATTAGCCTGAGCTCATTGGTGTTGTGATGGAAAATTTTGCAAGTTCTTGAATAGTCAGTCAGTAATCAGAAATACCAGTCAAACAAGATATTTTAATGGTTAGTGTCATTAGAGGCAAGAGCAGCGACACCAAAATTCTTTAGTAGACAGCCTAAGAACTTTGTTTTGGATGGAAGTAAGGCTTCATTTCTCAGAATTCTGTACTTTTTGGGTTTTGTTTTTAGTTTTTTTGAGACGGGTCTCACTCTGTCACCCAGGTGGGAGTGCAGTGGCTCACTGCAACCTCTGCCCCCCAGGCCCAAGTGATTTTCCCACCTCAGCTTCTCAAGTAGCTGGGACCACAGGTGCGTGCCACCACAGCCAACTAATTTTGTGTATTTTTGGTAGAGATGGGTTTTCCACATTGCCCAGGCTGGTCTCGAACTCCTGAATTCAGACGCTCCACCAGCCTTGGCTTCCCAAAGTGCAGGGATTATAGGCATGCCCGGCCAATTCCATACCTTAAATGAAAGAGTATAATTCTTGCAAGACTTCAGACTTCATGACTTCCACTGCATAGAATTTCTCAGTTGATTACATCTCCATGGCATCTTTTTTTTCATTAGGTACCATCAGCTATAGATAAGGTCTTTTCTTCAAATATGATGTTGCCATCTCTGTAGGTTAACAGCCAGCTGGCATCTGTTACATTTGTAACAGTTAATTTCTTTAAAGGGAACAGAGGAGGAATGAGGCTTAGCCTACTCCAAGAGAATCATCAAGAGATACAGTAAAGTAGTTACTTTTAAAACATTATTATTATTATTATTATTATTATTATTTTGAGACGCAGTCTTGCTCTGTCACCCAGGCTGGAGTGCAGTGGCACAATTTCAACTCACTGCAACCTCCACCTCCTGAGTTCAAGCAATTCTGCCTCAGCCTCCCAAGTAGCTGGGATTACAAGTGCCCACCACCACGCCTGGCTAATTTTTGTATTTTTAGTAGAGACGAGGTTTCACCATATTGGCTAGGCTGGTCTCAAATTCCTAACCTCAGGTGATCTGCCCCCCTCAGCCTTTCAAAGTACTGGGATTACAGGCATGAGCCACCACACCTGGCCTAAAAATGTTAATTCTTTATAAATTATATGTTTGGACTATTTTTAGACTTGTTTTAAATTTATACTTTTCTATTTTTCCAAGTTTTAGAAAACCAGCATGAGGAGATGATTTGATTATGATTTTTTTTAAACACTTGAGTCACTTGAGTTGTTAAAATAACTCCAACATATTCATGAAGGATCTTCACAAAATGGACTTAGATGTAAAAGTAGCTTTTGTTGAGCCTCAGAAATCAAACACATTTTTTGTCAATAGCGCTAAATATTTATGACACCAAAGGCAAAGACCAAGGCTTCCCTCTGACCAGCACTCCATGAGGCACAAGATAGGTTCAACAAAAAACTGTTTCACAACATCATTTTTATTGTCACTGAATCTTCTGGGAGGAGAAATCTGCACTTGCTGTCTTTGCTTCCTTAACCCGGTCACTCAGTAACCCACTGCTCCCTGACTTCACCCCCTACCTCCACTGAAACTGCTTTGCCAGCTAATCCCCACTCATCAGTCAAGATTCAGGTCATTAGCCAATTTGAGGAATACTTCTTTGACCCCTTAGGTGGAGTTAAGAGCTGCTTTCAGAGCTCAAGGTAATGTATAAATGTCTGTCCTGGCACTTACTGTGTAGTATTGAAAAATAATGTTTACATCTTGGTTACTAGATATAAATGAGTTCCTCAAGATCAGAGACTGTTTTTATTCATTTCTAAATTTCGAAACCCTGGCAAAGTACCTAGAACATAAAAGCTACTTGATAAATCTTGTTGAACTGATGTGATCTACTCTCAATGAACCCACATTTTAGTGGGAGAGACACCTTGCTGACAACTGAAATATTATATAATGAAGTCAGTGCCACATAAGATGTATGTTTAATGGGTTGTAGGAGCTCTGATGAGGTACCATATCTCATCCCCCTTATGATGTCAAAAACTAAACTGAGAGGAAATTGGAAATAAGGTCAGAATTACATTGTGGTTCTCCAAGTAGGAGAATAAAGAAATGAGAGACTTACGCTAATATTACATGTACTATAAATGCCAAGCAGGACTGTGTGCTCTGGGTGATTATGTTCTTTTTCTCAAGCAGGATTTCAGCAGATTGTGGTGACCACGGAAACAGACATCTCTGGTGCCCTCCATTTCTGGGAGATAATCAGTTTGTTGTCCCACTACCTGCTTGTGTCAGTGCTCTATGTGGGCACCAATACATGCCTCTTTGTGAAGCAAAAATGAGCACATTTCTCTCAATAAAACGGTATAAACCATCTTGAGGCCTGGTGAAACTCTTGTCTTTTCAAAGACATACCTTCCCTTAGAATCAGTGATTACTGAGGGTCTTTTCTTGTTTAATCCAGATGATCTGCCTCTGAAACCTTCTGTGGGCACAGAAATTTCTGCAAGGAAAGCATCAGCAACCAGAATAATTTGGTGAGGAAGATTTGGCACAGAATACCCTGACACAGGTACTGCTCCTAAAGGAGCAGTCCTCTGGAGTTAGGAGTCAGTAATTAGGTGCCTACAAAACACCCTTCTATTTTGACTAAACATGCCTTGCTATCAAGGAGAAGAAAGAACTGTGCACTGAAAACCCTAAGAGCCAAACAAAGAATGTGGTTGTGATCATGAAAAATATCCTTGAATATCAGGGAATAGGAGACAGGGCAGTTGAAGGAAGGGTAGGAAAAGGCTACTTCCTAGCATAAATTAATAAATTTTTTATTATTTAATAAGAGAAATACATTTTTTGTTTCAAATAAGGCAAAGATAAGTTAGGACTGGATATAGCTATAGATCCCTATTTCTGACACAGGCTGATAAAAATAAAGGAAGTCGGAACACAACCCCACCGTCACCCACATCCCACTTTGCAAAAAACATGATCCAACTACCTCTAGATACTGGGCTGTGGACTGCTAGGAAAGTCTCAGGAGCCTTTGCTCTACTGATTGACCTACCTTTAGATTGACAGCAGCAGCTGTGGAGTAACATCTGAATGTTGATTGACGAAGCAGTTTGTGAGAATAAAGCAGGAAGGGAAAACACTTAACCAGTTTCTATTTCTTGTTGTCTTAAGTTTGCATCTTGCTAAAGAATCAAACTGTAGTGTAATCCAGAGGAAGAGTATTTCTCATCCTGGCAGCCCTGCTGTACCACATCTGCTTATCCATAGTGAAAGACACCATATTTTTAAGAAAATATAAAATGCAGAGATGAAAACTATTTTAAAGCAAATGATTTTAAATAAAAAGAAAGTTGCATACTCATTTTAAATGATTTTAATTTTCTGAATATTATGTTCCAACTCAAAAGATATTGCACAATGCTTTAATATTATACTTGTTACTTTTCTCACACTGGTGAGATTTTGATAAACATAGTTGACTTTGGGAGTAACATAGAGAATGTTTTCATTGGTTAAATAATTTCAATGACCTGTGAGGAACTGAAAGCAAGATATTACATTCATATAAAAGATAAGTACATATGCATAAATTCACTTGGATTCAATGAAAAATAATACACTTCTCATGTACTTAATAAAACTTAAAGGAAACAAAATTTAAAATGATGCAAAAATAGAATGTATTTCAAAAAGTTTTCAGTGTACTTTTGCTTTTGAAAATCCCTAGACCTGAAAGAATTCTAAGAATATCTGGCCATATTATAAGCCTCTTATTTGTAGAAGATAACACTTAATAATTTTAAAACAAAATGTAGATTAAATAAATATAGTTCGGCATTATTAAAATAACAAAATCTGTGATCATAAGGTAAAATTTCCCTAAATAATATAAACAAAAAACAACACCAGAAAATAAATGTATCATGTTATGGCATCTATAAACATTTCTGTTCAAATGTATGCATCTACAGCATTTTCCCTAGGTAATACACAGTTATTATCACATTATTATGGAATAAATGCTGAAAATTTAAGAAAAAAATATTAATGATACTAGGCTGAAGTCAATTCCAATAAACTCAATTTTACAAATTTTTATTGTAGTGATTTTTACTGTATTGCAGCAATTTTTTCTTTTTTTTCCTTTGCTTTGTAATTTATATTTTTAGCAGAGGCATGGCACTGGGGATAAAGAAAAGGAAATATGCCTCAGGTGCCAGTTGTGTTTTTTTAATTTCCATTTTGCACGTTTGCTATTTTTAGATTTGTTGTGCATGAAATTCATGAACACACCCGACTTTTGTTATTTTTTTTTAATTCATTCCCAGGAAACATCAGCTTAATCTGCCCTATAGACCAAATGGACCTAGCAGATATTTACAGAATGTATCATACAACAGCTAGAGAATATACAGTTTCTTGTTATTACAGGATAAAAGGCAAAAACATTACATTATTTGATGCACCACTTATTCTTGTTCTGCCACTGATTTTTAGTAGCTGTGTATTATTTCAGTAGTGTTGGTATCTCTACTAATGCTTAAACTGGAGATTCCACACCATGAATTTTTTTAAGGTCATCCTAAAATACAATGAATTATTCACATTTTGTGAAAATTACAGGCATCTGACAGCTGGTGTATTTATCTACTATCTTCATCAAACTTGAATATTTTATAAAATACTTGAAAAAATATCTCTACCAAAGATACCCTCATGAAGCACTCTCTTATCAAAAAGAAAAGGATAAAATTATGGATTAGTTCAATTGTACCTCGAACTGGAAACACTGATTATGATTATATTTCAGAAAACAGTTACAATTATTTCATTATAATGATTCCCATTTAGATTGATGATTGGAGACTTATTTACAATAAAAGATAGAGAAATTATAGGAGCCTAGGATAGTGCCAGGATCGCATGTGAGGGCAGTTTTTTCAGTTGTCTATACATGTTGAGATGTGACTATTAATGATCTTATTTCTTTATTCATTACATAAGGAGATGATCAGTGTTTTCTGGGTTTTTTTTGTTAATTTTACATATTCTCTTCAAAATTTTATTCATATGTCACTCAGATTGCATTTGGATTTAAACAGAGAACTTAGTCATAGCATGGATAGACAAAGCTCAGCATCTATCTAAATGACTCTGATGCACCGTCATCCTCATTGTTCTTGTAAGTTCCAAATTCATTATAAATCAAGGGGGAAAAACCCTTCAAATCCAAATATACATATATTTCTTATAGTATTTTAATTTAAATCAAGAAGTATTTAAAATCTTATCCTCTAACATTTTCACTGTTAGTATAATAAAATTCCCACAAGTTGAGAAGGTTATTTGCTTCAAATACTAATCTAATCTATCAGAATAATTTTGCCATCAGAGGTACAAACATTGGCAAATAGGAAACAACTATGTGTCAAAAAATATAACAGTACTAACTAAAATGCTTTTCTAATTGAAAATGTCATTACAGTCAACATTTTCAGAAAACAAAACCCATTAACAATTCTAAAAATTTTCACACGTACACACTCTAGTATTCTTTGTAACCAAAATTCTGGAAGGCTATGTGATGTTTTCACAATCATTCAAGCTAGGGCAAGCCTACTGTAACATTTCTTTTACTTTAAAAAATTAAAAATAATTTTAACATGTTATATAATTTATATACATGTTGAAATGATTTGCCAATTCCCCAAGGTGTACCTTAAATCCTTCCGAGGTTACATAGGGGAGGAAATCCAGCATTAATTTTTCTATTCCAGAGCCTCAATTTGGACACCCATCTGTGGGCTCCTAAAGTTGAGCACAACCTGTGGACTAGAGAAATGGCCAGCAGTCCTCCTTGTGTGGCTTTTAGTTATCCCTGTGACACTCAGAAGCATTCTCTCTTTAATTTCAGTAACATTACATGATAAATGATTTCCACATTCAGAAACTGATGTGTTGACTCTTACTTTATCTTTAAAGTTATCCTTAAAGACCTTATTGAAAATTTTAAAGACCATATTAAGTCTTTAAAGAAAAAAAAAAGTATATTGCCAGGGTTTCAAGACTTCAGATGCACATTTTCACATAAATCTAAATTCAACAGTAGCTCTCATGTTGAGATTTGAATAATGCATGTTGTGCTTTTTATCTTCAAAGAATATATTCTCTAACCTACCTGTAGTTTTGAAAATCTGTCAAAATCAAGGGGAAAAAAGTTGTCTATCCTGAGATGTCTTGTATTACTTTCTCTTTCTGGGTTTTTGGGTTTTTTTTTTTTTTTATGGTTTTGTCTTTGTTTTGAGACAGGGACTCACTCTGTCACCCAGGCTGGAGTGCAGTAACACAATCATGGCTCACTGCAGCCTGCATCTCCTGGGCTCAAGTGATCCTCCCACCTAGCTAGAACTACAGGCATGTACAACCACACCCAGCTATTTTTTTTTTTTTTTTCTTTGTCTCACTGTGTTGCCCAAACTGGTCTTGAACTCCTGGGCTTAAGGGATCCTCCTGCCTTGGCCTCCCAAAGTGCTGGGATTGCAGGAATGATCCACCATGCCCAGTCTTCTTTTTTAAAAAAGATGCTGACATTTTATTTTCAAGTTTTGATTGGATTAGATTGTGAGAACTATCTTTATATAACAGTCCTATTGTAAGTCTTATACATATAAGTAAATAATGGAATCAGAATGTAATTGAACTGTCAATCAAAGCTGTTCTTATTACCCTTACTTGGTTAAACTGGTGCATCTCCTTTTATGAATTTCTTCTGTATAAAAATCAATTCATCCAAGGTTATTGGCCCAGAACACCAGAATGAACAACTTAGAAACTGATTTTGAGTATTTAAAATTAAGCTTTTTAGTCAGAGCATTATTTGTTAGTATTGAATCATGATCAGAACCATAGCATTGTACAAGCAATAGTAAAAACCTCTTCCAGGATCTCCTGCTTCTAAGCTTTACCTCTTGAATTTACCTCAGAAAATATAGTTGTACTTTCTTTTTTTCAGAATTAACAAATTGATAAAGAGAAAATAATTATAGGTTACTATTTTGAATGCAACAATACCAATACTTTGAATAACTGACAGTGCATTCTGCAGATATATGTGCCAGAGACTATGAAAAAGGAAACCGTTTAGGAAAAAAAATCACATTACAAAATGTATTATAAAAAATAAGTTATACAGCATGTGCCCATGGACCTGAAAGCTTTGCAGAAGGAAATTTCTTTTGGCACAAAGATTGAATTGCTCTTGCTGTATATTTTCATATTATCAGCAAGGCCATTTTCAGCTTTTACATTATATACTTAAAAAAAAAAATCACTGGAAGTAGTAAAATATTTCCAGTAGTGATCAGTAGCATGGAGGACCTTAGTCATGATGGAGGGCTATCCATTCAACAGGGATTCAGACGAAGTACACACACCCAGTATGTGCTTGGTTTACCATTTCATCTGGAGTTCATTCGTAACTGGTGAATGATGATGCTTTCTATAAAGAGAAAAAAAGACATAGCATTTTCAATTAAACTGAAACTGAGAATCAAGCTGTATCATTTCTCTAAAAGATCATAGATGTTAAGCAACAAAACAAACAAAAACAGGTACATGAGACTAATAGACTCTCCTGCATTACTGTTCTTGGGCAACATCTTCATATTGGCATATGTACTTTACCTAGAAATTCCTTAAAGCCCTCAGAAACTACATCTAATGTTCTGACAATAGTAGATCAGTTTTAACCAAGATAAGAACTGAAAACAAAGATAGTAATTATTATATACAAACCCCATAATGAGAAACTAGACTATTTCCTAGAAGTAACTCTAATCTCCCAGCCAAACTTTCTGTTCTGAACAATATTTACACCCCTTACATTTCTTTTGGTGTGTGTGTGGATTAGAGTTTTATTAAGGACATATTATTTCCAAGAAGTCAATAAATACAGATGGCTCACTTTTGTCTCTGACTGCTTCTTTTTGCATAACTCTGTATGTTTTAAAATATAAATTTATTCTTATAAAAATAAATTTAAACTAGATTGAGATAGTAATTACAACAGTCCAGCATATTATGAATAATTAATATTTATATTTATTTTACTAGTTTTTTTTTATATTAACCTTTATGCCTTCATGAACATGTATCAGTGTGAATCACTTCATTCAGTCATTGAAGAACTATTTATTGAGGCTGCATACTGTGCTAGGTAGGCCTGGAACTACATGTACGATCAAAATAAGACAGACTCCTAAATCAATGAGATTATACACAGCAGAGGAAAAAAAATCAAACCTCAAATAGTTTCTTCACTTAAAATTTTTATTATTAATACTTCTTTTTCAACATATGGCACGTGTTGTGAATGCAGAAATTCATGTCAGTGTTTATCAATAACATGAGGAAATTTCTACCTATTACAGTATTTTCACGTTAATCTCAAATACTTAGTATTTAAGTTTTATTTTTACTTATATAGTTAGTATATAAGTGAACATTAATTAAATCATTTATGCCACAGATTTATAGGTTCATAGTAATTACACACAGTGGATGACTATCTGCCAAAAAGAAAATGTTTTCTTAATTTGGTGTAATTAACCTTACCATATAATGACCAATAGGTGGAGCTATTTTCATTGTTTCCCTCAGCCTCTTGGCTTGAATTTGAGGTAGCTAAGAAAGCTAAGTAAAATGAAATATAGAAATAATCTTATACACATAAGAATATTTACCTATGAAGGTTTTATGAAGCTCTTAAGACATACATATGATACTGCACTATACCAGAAGCCCTTAAAAGCCATCTTATTTTTTCGTTGAAAAAATGTTCCAGCTTCAACATTTTTAATGCCTAAAAATATATCAAAATCTTCAGGCAAAATTTAAATACTAATTAAATATTATATAGTTAAAAATTAGCATCCAAAATTAAAATAATGTTTCTCACTACTTTTTTTTAAATTTCTGCAGTAGGTTTCAACTAGTGAAAAGAACCAGGTCTCAAATCTCCCTGATAAAATATCTCCAATTTCCTTCCCTTAAGAAAGCATAGATAAAGAGTGAAATCAGAATTGTTCTTATTGAGGAAGTAATTCAGAAATCTTTTGCCTTTGTTTCCGCAGTACAAAGTAAGGGTAATAGCATCTCAAAAATCCCTTTCAGGGTTAACATTTTTTATTACTACAATATCTTCTTTCTCCTTCAGTGTGCTACAGTGGAAATTACAAAATGCTAGGATTACGGCAATTTAGAGTTGCTTGTCTTAATCCCGGCATTTTGCACAACTTAGAGTTGCTTTGTCTAATTCTAGCATTTGGAAATCTCCATCATAGTAATAAGGTTCCATACACAAAAGAAACAGTGTCTTGGTTGGACCATAACATTTAATTATTGTGTTTAAATTAGCAAATTCATAATCCATGCATGCTGTATATGCTAATGCTATTAATCAGATTATGTTATTAAATCAAATGTCTCAGAAATACTTGATAATACTAAATAAGAGTTAATCTTATATAAATTGTACTTTAATAATAAAAGGTGGTATTTAATATTTATGTACATAAACTTCATTTAAAATAATACAATTAAACCCAGGTTATGTTGTTTTATATGGAGACATGCTTCATTTTATTTCTAGAGATAGTGAGATAAGATCTATATGATAGTGGCTCTATTAATTGAAACTTATTAAACAGATTTACTAAATTTATAGTTGCTTATTAGCTATGTTTTCCCCAAGTCTCAGCTGAATTTACTCAAATAAGAATCATCCAGCCAATACACAAAATAGTGAGAAATTTTTTAAATGTTGCTTTAAGGCCGGGCATTGTGGCTCACGCCTATAATCCCAGCGCTTTGGGATGATGAGGCAGGTGATCACTTGAGGTCAGGAGTTCAAGACCAGCCTGGCCAACATGGTCCCCATCTCTACTAAAAGTACCAAAAATTAGCCTGGCACAGTGGCATGCACCTGTAATCCCAGTTGCTCTGGAGGCTGAGGCAGGAGAATAGCTTGAACCCAGAAGGTGGAGGCTGCAGTGAGCTGAGATCATATCACTGCACTCCAGCCTAGGCGAAAGAGCAGGACTCAGTCTCAAAAATATATATATATTGCTTTAAGCCATTACATTTTGAAGTAACTCATTATATAGCAAAACCGTCTGAGACACATGGAGACCATGCTGCCAGCAAAAAAAAAAAAAAAAAAAAAAAAATTTTAAAAATTAGTGCTTTGGGGATTAATGCCATTATTTGTGTAAAAATAGAGAGACTTGAATTTCCATGTCTCTTCCTGTCTTTTTATATATAGTAAAATAATGTTATAAATTTTATTGAAGTTACAGAGTTGGTGAGCAAATTTTAATCGATCTCCTACTGTCTCAATAAAATCAGGCATAATTTTTCATAATTTTTCTTCTTTTTTTTAATTTTTTTTTTTTTAAGTTGGGGCTTCACCATGATTGCCAGGCTAGTCTTGAACTCCTGACCTCAGGTGATCCACCTACCTCAGCCTCCCAGAGTGCTAGGATTACAGGTGTGAGCCACCACGCCTGGCCAATTTTTCTTCTTACACATCATAATTTTGCACATCTATCATAATTTTCCTTCTTACAGATATCACTCTTCTGGCATTAGTGATTTGTAGAGCACTTAACAGGCAGATTGGAACCAAAGACCATAGGTAATTGCCACCTCTGTCAGCAAACTCAAAATAGCAAAGCACTTAAATTTGGGGTTGTTGAATATGAAGATGTTTATTAACATAATTTCCTTTTTTTCTAATTGGAAATTTAAAAACCCCTAAATTTCAATGAACATATACTATGAGAGACACTGAGTTTTTATATATTTTTTACATTAGCGGTTCACCAAAGTGTACTTACAGGCACTTTCCCCTATATGTTTCTCTCCAGTGTTACCTTGATGTTTTTTTTCCTTAAAAAAACTTCAGGTAACACATTAAATACATTATTTTTTATTATGACATTATTGTGAGATGATGTAGTTTTTATTATTTCTTTTAGCACACTAGCTATTGGATAACTTCTTGGAAAGGAAGTTCAACATAGTATCAATTCCTAATTATACTTGATTTCCGACCTTACTAAATATTCATCCTCCTTGGTGGTATCCCAAAACTACTGGCCAATCAGATGACTTGAGATGCAAAGCTGTGTGCATGAGATAGGATTTGGGGAGAAATTTGGGGGAGAATGTCTCCTGAGTGCAGAGTGAGGCAACCTCACTACAAATTAGAATTGTTTCCTCCCAGGAGGTCTCCTTGGCTGTAGAGTGGGAAAGATGTACTCCCTAAAAAGCCAATGCCTCCCTCCCAAGTAATTCATGTTTATACTCTGCCAAACACTACAAAGGAACACTTGAGCTCTAAATTAAAAAAAAAAAATTCTGCTCTAGTAAATAAGGCCACATCACTTTAATAGCTAGCCTCTAAGTTCACACACTAAAGACAAAATATACCAGAAGTTCAACTTATACCAAGACATTACATCAGCAAAGGGAGGAATGCTTTATCCACAGGAAGCTGTACACCAAGTTACAGAACAAAAACATGTCTTCCTGGATTTTGCATTAATTTGCCTACTATGTAGAGCCTGCATCCCATGTTTTATGTCTCCCTACCCACGAGGGCCTCTTCCTAGAGATACCAGCTTAGGGCTATGCTATTGTTTTCCTCCCTCCACCAAGTACCAAACATCAGCTTTGAACCTACTGGCCTCAAAAGGACTTGTCCACTGCAAAAATGTCCTATATTCTATATGCCTTTTAGAAGTACTTAAATATGGTTTACTTTTAAGTTTCTCATTTTCATAAACTGCTTCAGGGTTCAATCCTGTTATTATCACATTCAGAAATTAGTCAGAATTCTGTTAAAACATCTGTTTTAAATAGGAAATTCAAGAAACTTCCTGTCTTGATTTGGACTTGTATTCCTTTTTTGGATTCCAGCTCAGCTAATTAAAAATACTTCCGCTAATAGGTTCTGTCATTTGCTCTAGGAAACTTTTGAACTAGATGATACAAACTCTCTTGGGAGTTCTCAACCACCTAATAATTTGTTTGCTTCCTTCCAGCACATTTCCCACTCTACCATCAGCCCATATTATCCCCTTGCCTCCCCAGAATGCAGAAGTCACCAATAATCACAGTTATAACTGATCAATTCTTTTTTGGCAAGCTAATTCTTATCTCCAGCACAGATTGCTGTTTTACAGATACAAGCAAATTTGAATTAGTTCCCATATATAACATTAACTATGAATAAAAACTAAGTATTGGAAAAACAGGTAAGTATTTGAACCAAGCATGCTGAGGTTCTACTCTCTTAAACACAGATGCTAAATGCCTAGGTTGTTCTGAGTCTATGGCTAGGTCACAGAATAGCATGCAAAATAACATTATGTATGAAAACTGAGGTCACTTCACTTTTAAAGGAGGACAATATTCATCAAAATAGTCTTATAAGAA